TATGAATTAACATAATTATAGATTTGGAGTCCAGCTGAGTGTTTGGGGAGGGACAGCATGGTTATAAAAGGTGTTGGAAGTAAATGCTTGGTGCTGCCAAATGACAATGGCACTGAGGCAAAAGTTTTCTCAGCAAGGCAATTTACTGCTATAGACGGGTGCGTCTTGTGGATGGAACAATGGCGAGAGCATACCAGACAAGGAAGGGGAAAGGGGTCTTATTCCTAATGCCGCTAGCTCCTACTGCTGTGTCTTTCCCCTGTTGGCTAGGGTTGGATTGCACAGTCTAGGCTAATTCCGATTGGCTGTTTTAAAGAGAGCAAGTATATGAGCCAGAGTGGCAGGGTGAGTAATTTTGGTGGAAAGGACAGTTACAGAACAGGTGACTAAGGATGCCTAAGGACAGAACAGGTGACAGAGGCTAGGAGGGGGTTGTTTACTGAAACTAGGAGCAAGGAGAGTAAAGAACGAGGAAGTTAAACTTTAAAATGGAGAACAAAGAACAGGGAAGCTGAACATACTGACATATTGGTTCTTTGAAGAAGAACTCAGAACTTATTGTACTTAACAATTTTTCTCCCTCTTGAATTTTAAAGGAAGTTAACAGGCTAAACTTTGAAGAGGAATTTACCGTATCCTACAAAGGGAACCTGAGGGAGTCTTGTGGTGGTACTATGTTGATGTGGTGCTTACACAGGCTATGCATGGAGCTGTATGCGCATCTGCACGCACGCACAGTGCACGTGTGACTGGTGAAATCTGAATAAGCTTTGTGGATTGTACCCATGTCAATTATTGGGTTTTGACCTTATACCAGAATTATGTAAGATGTTAGCATTGAGGGACATTCAGGATGTACATTTCTAGATAACATCCTGTGAACCTGTAATTATTTCAAAGTAAAAAGCTTTAAAAATTGAGTATTGCAATTTCATATAGTCATCCTAATGGGGGGAGAATCCCATATACACCAAAATGTGCTGGTTGTAGTCATCTATTTATGGGGACTACAAAGGGACTTTCACCCTATTATTTGTGGAATAAATAATTTTTTATGGCCAAAAATTTTCCTCAATGTACATAGTTCATGCATCAAAAATACCCTATTAAATAAATGCAAATAGGCCAGGCACAGTATCTCATGCCTGTAATCCCAGCACTTTGGGAGACTGAGGTGGGCGGATCACCTGAGGTCAGGAGTTCAAGACCAGCCTGGCCAACATGGTGGAACCCTGTCTCCACTAGAAATACAAAAATGAGCCAGGTGCGATTGTGCACATTTGTAATCTCAGCTACTCAGGAGGCTGAGACACAAGAATCGCTTAAACCCAGGAGGTGGAGGTTGCATTGAGCCAAGATCATGCCATTGCACTCCAGCCTGGGCAATACAGTGAGACTCTGTCTCAAAAGAAAAAAATGCAAATAATTAGAAGCATAAAAAAAGTTGGCCAGGTGCGATGGCTCACACCTGTAATCCTAGCATTTTGGGAGGCTGAGGTGGGCAGATCAAAAGGTCAGGAGATCAAGACCATCCTGTCAAACATGGTGAAACCCTGTCTCTACTAAAAATACAAAAATTAGCTGAGTGTGGTGGCATGTGCTTGTAATCCTAGCTACTCAGGAGGCTGAGGCATGAGAATGGCTTGAACCAGGGAGGTGGAGATTGCAGTGAGCCGAGATTGCACTCCAGCCTGGTGACAGAGTGAGACTCCATCTAAAAAAAAAAACAAAAAACAAAACAAAACAAACCATAGGCCCCAATTTTTTAAATCTGTCACATTGACAGAATTTAATGTCTTCTAGTGGTTATGTAATTTGATAGACTGTTGGCAATTGTTTTTATCAAAAAACAGCTTGAAGAGATGTTTTATTTGTATTCAGAAAATTGTTTAGAGATTTACAGAGATTACACAGTTCTCTCTTGATCATGTCACATGTATTTTAATATCACAAATCTCATATTCCCTAACTCAATATAAAACACCTGAATTGTAAATATTGAAGTTAGTTTTTAAAATGTCTTGTTGGTCTTATTTATCTTGAATGAACAATGCTCTTAATCTTTAATATAGAGATTACTAGAATTTTTCTCAGTTCATATTTAGTAAGTGTTACTGTTTCTCTTTTAACATTTTGAACTCTTAACAGAGAGGCTTATCCTAGTTTTCTGTACATGACTCCCAGAGGTTTGGGGGCCTTTTTCGGTCATTAACACCTCACTGTATTTTATTACCTATCTTGGTTAAAAGACTTAGTTGTAGAATATGTTGGATTTGTTCCTGAAATGAACTTGGTTTTGTTTTGTTTTGTTTTTTCATATATCTTGTGCCGCCCTTATGCCCCATTAAAACGTATAATTGAGAATTGATTATTCCATCTTCAGTGGTAATGGAATTTTTTGTTGTTTTGAGTAATTATCCATTTGAAATTGATAGTGGTAGCTAAAGTGGAAGTTGCAGTCAGATAAAACTTGAGCAATGTTCAGGAGTTGAAATAAAAAGACATAGGCCTGAGTTGATAATGGAGTTAAATGATTACTCCCGACTCGACGTAGAAAAACTACTGCATCTTGTTTTGATTTTTTTTTCTTTTAATCTGAAGTCCATTTGTTGAAGTTCTTTACATCTTTGTATTTGTCTGGCTTTCCCCAGTATAATAAATGGCACCTTAATGTGAGCAAGGGGTCATTTTTCCTTGTAGAAAATGTTCTGTAATTTAGATTTTTCAGTCCTCATTCTAAAATTCAGATGCTGTTAAACCTAGATTTGAAAATTTTCCTTCAAATATCCTCGCATCATTTCACTTCTGCCATCTTTGGTGGTTTTCTTGATGCAGGCCCCATTGATGATTTTACACACAGCACAATTAAGAACATCCTCATTCAGTCACGTCGCTGAGGGTAAATCTCTCTTAGCTGCTGGGCAGCAAAGTTATTTTTAAATGCCCGCTTTGTGCTTTTTCATAGTCATCCTGAATAGGGGCTGGTGTGGTGCAACTGTGCTCGGTCCTCGGTGAAGCTGGCTTAGTGCTCAGCCCCGAGATACAAAAAGGGCTCTGAAATGAAGCAGGGAGCTGACGGGGACAGCTGGGGATGTTTCAGATACCTAGTGAGGAACATGTTTTAAAACCTAAAACAGTGATTTTTTTCTCCTATTTTTTTATAAGTCATTTTAAGGCCGGGTACAGTGGCTCACATCTGTAATCCCAGCACTTTGGGAGGCCGAGGCGGGTGGATCACAAAGTCAGGAGATCGAGGCCATCCTGGCTAACATGGTGAAAACCCGTCTCTAATAAAAATACAAAAACATTAGCCAGAAGTGGTGGCGTGCACCTATAGTCCTGGCTACTGGGGAGGCTGAGGCAGGAGAATGGCGTGAACCCGAGAGACAGAGCTTGCAGTGAGCCGAGATTGTGCCACTGCACTCCAGCCTGGGTGACAGAGCAAGACTCCATCTAAAAAAAAAAAAAAAAAAAAAAAAAGTCATTTTAAGTTGTCTAACCTAACCCCTCCTCCCTTGTGAAGGTTGAGACATGATTGGATTTCATTCTGGTATAGAAAAAACCGAAGGGCCAATAATTCAGCAACATGAGTATCAAACTTTTAAAGCAGAAATAGTCTTGAGAAAAATGTTTTTATATTATATATCTATAGAAAATCTTAATTCAGTTAAAACAAGATATGCTTTAATTAAAACTCCTTTGATGATTTCTGCATTGATCTTTGGTTTTGAGCTGCCTATTCTGGAATTACTTTTTAAAAGAAGATTAGCTGAACTTTGAAGTACTTGAAGCATACTTAATGTATTTTAGGGTTGACTTACTCTAATGCACTTGGCAGTCATGAAGCATTTGAACAGATATGTTGACAACTGAAGTGAAACAAGTGAAAAGACATCCTCTTCAGTTCAGTTTTTTTTCTTACGAGTACACTCTAAATTCCTTGCAGATGTATTAAGAGTACTGAAAGGTAACTAATTCTTAAGCATCCAAGTGGGGCCCAGAGCAAGTGATTTTCAGTGCATAGTGAATCCTGGTTCTTGGTAATATTTCCTGTTGCTCCCTCTTCAAGAGGCTGTTGTTTAAATAACGCTGGAATTAGCATTAGCTGTCAGCTGTTGGCCAGTACTGTGTGCTTGATTCGTATTTGCTACCTCATTTAATCCTGCCAACAACCTTATGAAGTAGGTGTTTTTACCGCACCTGTATGGAGGAGGAAGTTGCGACTCAGGTGAAAGCAGTTATGTGGAAAAAGAGCCTGAGACCAGGATTAGCTGCAGGTCCTTTGGGAGGTGATTCCAAGATGCAGGAGCGAGGGCCAGGGAGAGTGAGACAGCGTCGAGAAGAAGCTAAAAACAGGAAGCTGCTAAAGCCATTGAGTATGTGCCATCGTACCAGGATCTCTGAGGAGTGTTGAGAACACTTCCTAGGATCATCCACCCAAAGGATGTTAGACCAGGGTCCTGAGATACTGACCTCCGTCACCTATTGGTTGAGAGCTGCCTTAATTCCACAGAACTTCTGGGCTGTGCTGGCTGGGTTTCCTGAGATTCAGAGAATACTCTGACCAGAAAAACACAGCCACACAGGCGTGGCTGTGAGGTGGGACCCTCTGTGCATTCCAGTGAATGCACACAACGCTGGTTCCCATAGCTGCAGCTGAATGCAGAGGTAGACCAGAGGGCTGTGCCAAGAGGCGCTAGGAGTGTAGGACCCGAGTTGGGCCCAACCTGAAACCTGTGAGCAGAAGCTCTTCCCGCTGTGGCAGACCGTCTCCACATAAACAATGTGAGACAAGGCTAGCGGGAAATGGAGAGAAGGCACCCAGTAATGGCAACAGTATGAGCAGAATGCACAGAGGAAATACACATGTGATTACATGCTAATTAGGAAAATTACTTTTCCTATGTTGCTTTGGTTAGCATTAGTTTGTGTTTCTTGCATGTATGTAGATCAGAATATAAGAAGAAAGCCCACAGTATTCTAAGTATTAGACACTATACCTGATTTGAGATGATAAACTCCATCCCTGGGTTTTAAGATCTGCCATGCATACCAGCTTGCTGGACTCCGGAGTTGAGAATGTGGTGCTGGGAATGTGGGGGTGGGCGGGACTAAGGCAGATAACGGACCTCATTCACCATTGTCCATTGTAAGAGCTGCTGTGTTTGTTTTGTTAATCTTGATAACACCCCTAACATGTTGACACTCCCAAGAGCTGAACCAGAGGGAGCAATGCCTTGGGTGAAATGGTTTGTGACAGTGTGTCCCAGGACACAGGGCAGCTGAAACATTCTGCACATGTTTTCTGGAATAACAGCACCCAAACCCAGCAGAGCAGGGGCCTGCCACAGACACAGGGGAGGAGTTAGGACATGTTTACGTAAGGGAAGGCACTCAGATTGCCCTTTTTCGAATTTACAGTCAACCAGATTTGATCAGGGACCTGAATTCATACAGACAGCCTGTTTGGAGTAATCCCATATTGCTGTGTAATAGATAACCACAAACATAGTTTAAAACGAAACAAATTTATCAGCTTCCAGTTTGTAGGGCAGAAGTCTAGGCAGGGTGTGACTGGGTTGTCTGCCCAGTGTTCCATGAGGTTGAGTTGCGTTTTTTTCTGGAGGCACTGGAGAAGAATCTATGTGAGGGCCCTTCAGGTCGCTGCCAGAGTTCAGGCTCCTGGTGATTGTAGTGTGGAGGCCCCTTTTCTTTCACCTGCTGTCAGCCCAGAGCTGCTGTTATCAGCCCTTGACCTCTTGATCCATCTGCTTTGACCTCCCAAAGTGCTGGGATTACAGGTGTGAGCACTGTGCCCGGCCTAACCCAGAAGTCTTAAGTCCAAAGTCTCATCTGACACAAGGCAAGTCTCTTTGTCTCTTTGACCTAGGAGCACATAAAGTCAAAAGCAAGTTAGTTACTTACAAGATACAATGAGAGTACAGGCATTGGATAAATGTTCCCGTTTCAAATGGGAGAAATTGGCCAAAACAAAGGGTGTACAGGCCCCAAGCAAGTCTGAAATCCAGCAGGGCAGTCATTAAATCTTAAAGCTCCAAAATAATCTCCTTTTACTTTGTGTCTTACATCCAGGTCATACAGAGGCAAGGGGTGGCTCCCACGGCCTTGGGCAAGCTCTTTCACAGGTTGGCATTGAGTGCCTGCATCTTTTTCAGGTGCATGGTGCAAGCTGTCAGTGGATCTACCATTCTGGGCTCTGGAGGGCGGTGGCCCTCTTCTCACAGCTCCACTAGGCAGTGCCCCAGTGAGGACTCTGTGTGGGGGCACCAACCCTATATTTACTGTTTGCACTGCCCTAATAGAGATCTCCATGAGGGCTCTGTCCCTGCAGCAGACCTCTGCCTGGACATCCAGGCATTTTCATACATCCTGTGAGATCTAGGCCAAGGTTTCCAAACCTCAATTCTTGACTTCCGTGCACCCACAAGCCTAACACCATGTGGAAGCCGCCAAAGCTTGCGGCTTGCACCCCCTGAAGTAATAGCCCGAGCTGTACCTTGGCCCCTTGTAGCCACAGCTGTAGTTAAGAGTGGCTGGAATGCAGGGTGCCGTGTCCCAAGGCTGCACAGAGCAGCTGGGCCCTGGGTTTGGCCCACAAAACAATTTTTCTTCCTAGGTCTCTGGGCCTGTGATGGGAGGGGCTGCTGCCAAAATCTCTGACATGCCCTGGAGACATTTTCCCCATTGTCTTGGCACTTAACATTCAACTCCTCATTATTTATGCAAATTTTTGCAGCTGGCTTGAATTTCTCCCCAGAAAATGGGTTATTCTTTTCCAGTGTATCATCAGGCTACAGAATTTCCAAATTTTTATGCTCTGCTTCTCTTGTAAACATAAGCTCCAATCTCAAACCATCTCCTTGTGAACGCATAAAATTGAATGCTTTCACAATAATCCAGGTCATGTCTTGAATGCTTTGCTGCTTAGAAATTTCTTCCACCAGATAGCCTTAATTATCTCTCTCAAGTTCAAAGTTCCACAGATCTCTAGGGGAGGGGCAAAATGCTACCAGTCTCTTTGCTAAAGCATAGCATGAGTGAGCTTTACTCCAGTTCCCAATAAATTCCTCGTCTCCATCTGAGACCACCTCAGTCTGGACTTCATTGTTCACATCACTATCAGCATTTTGGTTGAAACCATTCAACAAATCTCTAGGAGGTTCCAAACCTTCCCACATCTTCCTGTCTTTTTCTGAGCCCTCCAGACTGTTCCAACCTCTGCCCATTACCCAGTTCCAAAGTCCCTTCCATGTTTTCAAGTATCTTTATATCAATACCCCACTCTCTCCAGTACCAATTTACTGCATTAGTCACTGTTCACACTGCTATAAAGAAATACCTGAGGCCGGGTGCAGTGGTTCACACCTGTAATTCCAGCACTTTGGGAGGCCGAGGCAGGCAGATCACTTGAGGTAGGAGTTTGAGACCAGCCTGACCAACATTGCAAAACCCCGTCTCTACTAAAAATACACAAAATTAGCTGGGCATAGTGGCACACACCTGTAATCCCAGCTACTTGGGAGGTCGAGGCATAGTAATTGCTTGAAGGCAGGAGGCAGAGGTTGCAGTGAACTGAGATCGTACCACTGCCCTCCAGCCTGGGGAAGAAAGTGAGACTCCGTCTCAAAAAACAAAACAAAACAACAACAAACCCTGAGACTGGGTAATTTATAAACAAAGGAGGTTTAATAAGCCCACAGTTCTGCGTGGCTGGGAGGCCTCAGGAAACTTACGATCATGGTGGAAGGGGAAGCAGGCTGCTTCACAAGGCGGAGAGTATGAGCATGTGAAGGAGGAACTGTCAGATCCTTATACAACATCAGATCTAGTGAGAACTACTCACTATCACGACAACAGCATGGGGGAGACTGTCCCCATGACCCAGTGACTTCCCTCCCCTGACATGTGAGGATTACAATTTGATATGAGATTTGGGCGGGGACACAGAGCTAAACCATATCACATGCCTTGAGGAAAGGTTAAACCACTGGAAAGTGTTTATAGCTGGGAGATTTGGGGTTCTTGCTTGAATGACCAGGTGAAAGTTGATTATGTTAGTGTTCTTGCCTTCTATATTACTGACTCAGGCCTACCTTGAAGGGTCACTGGTCACTTAAGTTATAAAATTATTTCACATCCTTTTATATGTTTCATGTCAATATTGGGTTAATATTTCTATCCCAAATTTTCAGATGAGAAGGTTAACTGATTAGGTTGTGTGGCCAGTAAACACTAAAAAGCCAAGACTAAACACTTTGTAATGTACCATGATGGCTACATATTTACTTTTTTTCCCAACCTTTTTTTTTGTTTGTTTGTTTTTGTTTTTTTTTTGTTTTTGGGATGGAGTCTCGCTCTGTCGCCTAGGGTGGAGTGCAGTGGCGCCATCTCGGCCCACTACAACCTCTGCCTCCTGGGTTCAAGTGATTGTCCTGCCTCAGCCTCCCGAGTAGCTGGGACTATAGGCGCCTGCCACCATGCCCGGCTAATTTTTGTATTTTTAGTAGAGATGGGGTTTCACCATATTGGCCAGGCTGGTCTTGAACTCCTGACCTCAGGTGATCCACCTGCCTCGGCCTCCCAAAGTGCTGGGATTACAGGCGTGAGCCACCACGCCCGGCCCTGTTCCCAACTTTTTACTGTGGTAAAATACACATAAAATTTATCATTTTGTGTATACATATAATTTGTAAGTGTCCAGCTGAGTGGTATTAAATATATTCATGCTGTACATCCATCACCACCATCCATCTCCAGATCTCTTTCATCTTGTAAAATGGAAAGTCTATACCCGTTAACCACTAAGCCCCCACGCCCTCTGCCCCGCCCTGAGAGCACCACTCTTCTTGTCTCCATGAACCTGACTGTGCTAGGCACCTCATATGAGTGGAACCGTACAGCATTTGCCTGTTTGTAACTGGCTTATTCCACTTAGCGTATGTGCTCAAGGTTCATCCATGTTATAGCATGTGTCGGAATTTCTTTTTAAGGGTGAATAGTATTCCACTGTTACATACTTTTAACAAACATGCCTTGAGAACTTACTGTGTGCCAGGCACTGAGCTGAGTGACAGCATGTTGAAATGAGTCATATATGGTCACAGTCGTGCAGGGACTCCAAGTCCTTAGCAATTGCACTGCAATTTGTAAGTCAGCTGCAGAAGTTTAAACACAGGGATGTGGAAACATCTGGATGGAGCAGCAGACTCCACTGGAGTTAGCAGAAGGACAACCTGAGAAGCTAATCTTGGAAGGTGAACAGCTGTTTGTGACTGACTAATGGGCGATGCGGGGGGAGGGGGGAAGGTCGTTCCAGCAAAGGGAACAGCACATGCAAAGGTGTGGCACGAAGGGCCTGACTGCCCAGGTAGGGGGGAGCAGTGCAGCAGATTGGAGGGGCAAGGAGGCCAGCTGTACAGACGGCTGGGGCACCAGCCCAAGTCTGTCAATGCAGCATGACTCCATCCACTTGGAGGGGGGATGTGAGCAGCTGTTTATACCCATTTCCTCTCTCGGTCCCTTTTCAAACCCTAACCCCAGTTATTCTGTTTCCTCAGCTGAACTAGATGCAGAGCACGCCCAGAAGGTCCTGGAAATGGAGCACACCCAGCAAATGAAGCTGAAGGAGCGGCAGAAGATTTTTGAGGAAGCCTTCCAGCAGGACATGGAGCAGTACCTGTCCACCGGCTACCTGCAGATCGCGGAGCGGCGAGGCGAGTTGGGGCCGGGGCTGCTGGAGCAGGGACTCACTGGCTGTGCGGGGTGGCGATGGGCTCCTCTCCCGGAGCAGGACATGGGGCAGAGTCCTCAGAAGTCCCGTTCTGTTATTAGACTCCAGCAACCAAAATGTGTGCGTCGGGCCACCTATCTCTTGCCCTGATTTTGCCTCTTCTATCAGTCTAGGCTTTAGTTGAAGATATTTTTTTTAATACCTCTAAAGATTACAGATACAGCCAGGCGTGGTGGCTCATGCCTGTAATCCCAGCACTTTGGCAGGCCAAGGCAGGCAGATCACCCGAGGTCAGAAGTTTGAGACCAGCCTGGCCATCATGGTAAAATCCCATCTCTACTAAAATACCAAAAGTGGCCAGGCGTGGTGGCGCATGTCTGTAATCCCAGCTACTCAGGAGGCTGAAGCACGGGAATCGCTGGAACCCGGGAGGCATAGGTTTCCGTGAGCCGAGATCGCGCCATCGCTCTCCAGCCTGGGTGGCAGAGTGAGACTGTCTCAAAAAAACAAAGATTACAAACACAAATTAGGCTTCTAGAAATTACCAAAATGGACAAAAGGAAAATTGCCCTTAATTCTCCAGGACAGAATAATCCCTGTTACTGCTTTTCATGCGTTCTTTCTAGTCTCTGTCGAGTCTGCTTATTTAATTGCGATCTGACTGGACCGTACACATATATGGCTTTGTCTCTAACTTTTCTTCATGTTATATAGGACTCTTTCCCCCTGTTGTTAAAAATACTTTGAGAGGTTGTGTGTCAAAGGCTGCATCTTTTTGTCATGATGTATCCTAATATATTCCACCAGTTTTCCTAGCTGAACATTTAAAATCTTTCCCTTGGTAAATAGTGCTGTAAGGAACAAGCCGATCAGACGTCCAGACACCGAACTCCTTCCCAGCTTTTCCTTTGGAAGAACCCAGTGACTCGGAGGTGCAGCAGGGGTGAGCAGGGCAGTGGCGCCGGGCAGCTCACATTTTCCCACCAGCCTGCGCCGCACAGGCAGGACCAGACCCCAGGCAGCGGGGAGACCCGTCCAAACCTTCCCCTGTTTTCCTGCCCTCCCGTTCTCCTGAATTTCTCATCACCTCCTGGACACCTCCCTCACCTCTCAAATCTCAGCCTTCATCCTCTCCCCAGGCTTGCCTGGCCCTGGCCTTTGTTCTCTCTATCCTGCCCCCAACCACATCCTCCAGGAGTGTTTCTTCCTTGTCATCCAGTTCTATGTCCCCTCCAAGGAGAAGTTAAAGAAATCCAAGAATGAGGCCGGGCACGGTGGCGCATGCCTGTAATCTCAGCACTTTGGGAGACCAAGGTGGGTGGATCATAAGGTCAAGAGATGGAGACCAGCCTGGCCAACATGATGAAACCTCGTCTCTACTAAAAATGCAAAAATTAGCCAGGCGTGGTGACACGCGCTTGTAATCCCAGCTACTCAAGAGGCTAAGGCAGGAGAATCGCTTGAACCCGGGAGGCAGAGGTTGCAGTGAGCTGAGATCGCGCCACTGCACTCCAGCCTGGCGACAGCGAGACTCCATCTCAAAAAATAAATAAATAAATGAAAAGAAATCCAAGAATGAGGAAAGAAAATAATGTTGAGAAAAACAGATGAACAGCAGTAGCTGAAGACCTCATAGTGTGCTGGTGAACGCAGTCAGTTGTGAGGAAGAAGCTTGTTTACCTTCCAACGCACAGGGTAGGTTTGAAGCTTAACAAGTTCTCTAGAGTCAGCCTTCGCCGTTCTTGTAACCCGTGACCCTGCCTTTGTCCTCTGTGCGTTCCTCCGAGTGGATGTACAGGATTCTGTTACTTCCGTGTTGGCTGCGAGTTGTAGAGAGTGGCTTTCCATGGCTCCTTTGGGAGGAAGCAGAAGGTTTGCTCCAGGGATTTTTATCCCGTTATGGGTAGAAGCAGAGAAGGACACTGTTTTAGCCCCGCTGCCATAACGAAACCATGTGGACTGGGTGGCTTGAACAGTCGATATTTCTTTTCCCTCAGTTCTGGAGGCCTCAGATCCAAGATCAGGGTGCCGGTGTGATCGGTGTCTGATGAGGGCTGTCTTCCTGGCTCGTAGGCGGCCCCCTTCTCCCTATGTGTGCACGTGGCCACCAGTAGGGTGGAGCCCTCTGCTGTCTCTTGGTATTAGGGCTAATCTCGACCACAGGAGCCATGTCCACCTGACCTCATCTAACCTAATCACCTCCCAACGGTCCCAACTCCAGGTATCCTCATCTTGGGGGTTAGGGCTTCAACATACAAATTTTAGGAGGACGCATTCAATCCATACAGATACACCCTGGCCGACCCGCAAATTTGAACATAATGACACATCGCAGCAATGTCTCATGTCATAGAAGAGATGCACTGATGGACAGCCACAGAAACTCTGATTGGTGAACAACTTAACTCTATCTTCCTTCAGTTTAGCACTTGCTGGTGAGCCCAGAGGAAGCACAGAGAAATGAAAGTGCCTCTCAGGAAGCTCCCATTATAGGGAGAGCCACGGACACACGGCTGATGATGATGTAGTAGGTGCGCGGCCGGCTTGGAAGGAGCAGCTTCTGTTGATGACCAGCTCCTGGTGACAGGGACAGGCACGCACTGCACCTCCTCCACAGCTAGCAAGGCACCGGGCTGGCAGAGGGAAGCGTCTAGCAGCTACCTGCCGCAAATACCTGCAAGGAAATACGAAGTGGTTAAATTTTCGTGGTTTTGAGTATCTCAAAGATTAAGTTTCAAGAAAATGTTGGGCTCATGTTTTTAAGGTAAAAATCAGGCACATCTTGTCAATATATGGTTTTGAAAACTTTGAAGAAGAAAATTGGAGGCTCTGGGCTTTTTAGCTTTCTCTTCAGCTAGAGCTGAGGGACAGCCACACACGGGAATGGGACATCCCATTGCACGGCTGTGCAGAGCCGGCTCAGACTTGCCAGCCTGACGAGCCACAGCGCCTTTCTTAGGGAGGAAGCTTCATCTCCACGGATTAGTATTAATTTAGGAGAATCAATCAAAAATTTAAAAACTCTGCAGCAAACATGGTGTTTTGGACTCATTCCACTAAATCAGAAATAGCAGTTGGAATTTCCCTTTCAGAAGCATCGTTTCTTAATTAAGACAAGGCCATGGCAAGTTTTATCCAGAGAATCATCAGAGGAAGGGGTGAAGGCACTTCTGTGCCACTTGGATGGTGCTGAGGCCGGATGGCCCCCCAAGCACAGAGGCTGTCAGGCTTGAGGACTGAAGGCGGTGCCGGGAGGGCTGAGCAGCAGAGGGGGTCTGGGTGCCACCAGAGGCCCCGCAGAGCCCTCCGTGCCATTAGGACATCATTAGGTGTTTTGTAAGACCCTAGCCCAGGTTTGATCTTCTGCCTGACATGACTGCCATTTTCTTAGAAAAGCATTTTTATTGCTTTCATTTTATTGCTGAATGTCAGGGTATCCTGCAGTTACTTATTAATAAATCACCTCGGAGATTGTCCTGGTCTGTGCCTGAGTTTTCTGGCTCTGTATTCCCATAGATTTCAGGCTCTTGTGTCTCTGAACCAGTAGTTCAGCAAAATGGCATCCTATGCAGCCAGGGGTGCGCCTGCTTCCAGAAGGATTGACTCAGCTCTGGGATGCTCCAGAGTGGACCCAGTGCCCTGGGAAGAGAACGAGGTTTGGGGCTAGTGATAAAATTACAATAAAGTTAGAAAAGATAGAATTGACAGGCAAAAGTGCACCTAAGTGCTGTGATTTTGAGAATCATCCATACTGATACATTCACCTCTAATTTGATTTCTATTCTTAAATAGTTATTTCCATTGAATAAATGTAATTTGTTCATTGTTGTATTGATGGGTATTTGTTTCCAGTTTTCTTCTTTCATAAAAACAATGCCAGCACGGACTTTTTTTTCTTAGGACGGAGTCTCGCTCTGTCACCCAGGCTGGAGTGCAGTGGCATAATCATAACTCATTGCAGTCTGGCACTCCTGGGCTCAAGTGGTCCTACCACCTCAGACTCCCGAGTGAGTAGCTGGGACTACAGGTGTGCGCCACCATGCCTGGCTAATTTTTTAATTTTTTAGAGAGATAGGGTCTCACTATGTGGCCCAGGCTGGTCTTGACCCTCCTGGGCCCAAGTGATCCTCCCACCTGGGCCTCCCAAAGTGCTGGGATTACAGGCGTGAGCCACCACACCTGGCCTTGGACATTCTTATAATTTGTGTGTCTGTACACATCCGTAAGTTGCTTTAAGACCAGCTGTTCTCAGACTTGAGCAGCCTCACAGACCCCTGGAGGGTCTGTGGTTCCAACATGGATTTCCTGGGCCCACTGCAGGGTTTGTGACTGTGCAGGTGTGGGTGGGGCCTGAGGATTTGCATTATAACCAAGTTCCCAGGTGATGCTGAGGGGGACCACACTTTGGGAATCACTTCTTTAGGGTATATAACTAGGAGAGGAATTACTGGTCATAATGACACGGCTATCTTTTATTTTACTAGATTCTGTCCAATTCCTTGCCAGACATTTGCACGAGTTTATAGTCTCCCCAGCCACGTATGCACGTTCTGATTACATCTTTACTGGCACTTGGTAGCGTCAGATTTTTTAATTTTTGCTAATCTGTTGGAATGAAACGACACCATTCGGGAGTCTTCAAGCCTCTCTTTGGCTGCGTTCTTCTGCTGCCGGTCCCTGAGCCAAAACTACACTGTTGTATACTTAGTTATCTCAAGTGTTGGTTCTCAGCTGGAGACACTTTTGCCCCCGAGGGGACATTTGGCAATGTCTGGAGACCCATTTTGCTTGTTATGCCTGGGGTAAGGGTGTGCTACTGGCATCTAGTGGGCAGAGGCCAGGGACGCAGTTTAGCATCCCACACTACCCAGGACAACCCCACCACCGAGAACGATCTGGTGCAAAGTGTCAGGAGTGCTGGGACTGAGCAAACGTTTTCTAGTGAAGCCTGAGTCTGCTGGAGCCATTACCACTCTGCTCTGCGTGTCGCACGCATTTCCCGCCCTGCCCTGCGTGTCCGCACGCATTTCCTGACCTGCCCTGCGTGTCTGCACGCATTTCCCGACCTGCCCTGCGTGTCTGCACGCATTTATTTTCTTCATAGTTGCCATGACTCTTCTTGGGGTCTTGTCCTTTGGTGTAAATGTCACAGTTTCAAGTTTGTTGAAGAACCTTGTCTACAATTTGAGCAGAATTGCAGTAAGTTTCTGGATGGAGACACAATGGGCCTCTTAGTGGTATTGGATCTTTCTGCAAGCGCACGTGTCTCATGCATTCCTGAATGGCGGGTACAACTTGCCTCCGATGCTGAGACCAGTGACTTTACCTATTCTTTTTTTCTGATGGTTATAGAGATTTCCTATTTCTCGTTAATTTTGGCAAGTTTTCCATGGACTTGTCTTTAGTTGTCCGCTGTGTCAGCATAACGTTGCCCATGGTGCGCGTCTCCCCCTCAACTGTGTTCCTGGGTAGGTTTGCTTTTGCATTCTTAAAATTGTTCATGTGCCTTTTATTCCTTTCATCTCTACTTACGACGAGTCTTACCCCAGAACCTAACCAGCTTCTTTGTTCTTTCTGCTGTTTCATTAACTTCTCTTCAGTTTTGCTTTCTTTGGGCATTTGTTTTTTTCTAACCCAAGTTGATGAATGGCTTGATTTTCAGCGTTCCTCTCTGGTAAGGCATTCAAAGCTATGGATTTCTTGCAGGGGGACCGTTTTAGTTGAATCCTACAAATTTTGGCACTAATAATTCCTGGGTAAATTTTATCATTAGCATTTCATATTTGATTTGTGAACTATTTATAAATGTTTTTAAAAATAATTAGATATGTGAAAGTTTTCCTAGCAGTTACCAATTTCTTTTTTTTTTTTTTTGTATTTTTTTTTTTTTTGAGACGGAGTCTTGCTCTGTCGCCCAGGCTGGAGTGCAGTGGCCGGATCTCAGCTCACTGCAAGCTCCACCTCCCGGGTTCACGCCATTCTCCTACCTCAGCCTCCCGAGTAGCTGGGACTACAGGCGCCCGCCACCTCGCCCGGCTAGTTTTTTGTATTTTTTTAGTAGAGACGGGGTTTCACTGTGTTAGCCAGGATGGTCTCGATCTCCTGACCTCGTGATCCGCCCATCTCGGCCTCCCAAAGTGCTGGGATTACAGGCGTGAGCCACCGCGCCCGGCCGCAGTTACCAATTTCTAACTAAATTTCATTGTGATTGGAGAATAGGATTTCGATTTCTCTTACTAACTTTGGGACTGCTGATGTCAGCCATCGAATAGGTATAGTGACACGCCCCCAAGATCACGGATATCATGTTTTCATTGCCATTATGCCATTTTTTAACTTTAAAAACGTAACCCAAAATAGAAGTTTTAGATTATCTTCCTGGTGAATTGAACCATTTAAAAGTCACTAAGTACTACTCTTTATCCCAGTATTACTTTTGTTTCCCATTAAAATCTATTTTGATATTAATATAGCTGTATCAGCTTTCTTCTTTGTTTGCTCATTATATCTTTTCATTTTTTAAGAAACATTTTCATGTTTCTGTGTCTCCATATTTGTCTCCTGTGAACAGAAGGTAGCTGGATTTTCAGTCGTATAATCTTTGAACTGGCAAGTTTGGCTCACTGACATTTCCTGTGATCACTGACACACTCATTACCATCTTATTTGGTGCTACAGAATTTTCCTGAAAGCTTTTCCTATGCTTCTTAGTCCAATTTTTTCTCTCCTGTTTTAAGTTATACTCCTGCCCTTTTCAAGAAGATGGCACAGACAAATTTTCAAAACTGAAGTCAGAAGCCAAAATCTAAAAGACAGAAAGGCCTTGGCGAAAGGCTTCCATAGGTCAGAAAGGAAACCCTCAGAAGTGTGCCCCCCAAAAGAACAAGCCTGACCAGGGTGCCATCAAATTCCCCTGACCACTCAGCCCTGAAGATCAAGCCCAGTGAACTGCTGTCCCCGTGTGGCTGAGCTCAACCCTGGCCAAGTCCAAGGCAGAGCAGGCTGGCTCAGCGGTGGGGATGCTGCTGCCAAGCATGGGACCATCTAAACCGTAACACTTTTCCCCAACTGAAAACAGGAATTACTCTTACCTCTCATTTGAGTGCTGAACTTCAGTGATTTTCTGAGCCTGAAGATAGTGAGACTCACTCTCCTCCCAGATGAAGCCGTAATCTCATGTCCTGTGGCTCTGAGCACCCTCCTCTCCGCCCCGTGTCTTTTTTCAGGAGGGTGATTTGGCCCTGGTGACTCCTTGTTATGACTGTTCCATTCCAGGTTTTACATTAACTCACACACTCACACGTCTCTTTGCTTAACATGCTTTCTTGCACTCGGTCCTTCCTTCGCTGTGCCTCCAGCGAGAGCAGGCTCGTGATGACGTGTTTCGTCTTAGTCTCTGCTTCTCCTCTCCTGGAGCTTAAATGATACCTAATGTTACACCATTTTAGAGATGGCATTTCTCTCTCCTCTTTGAACTTACTCCACAGTCTTCTGGCTTTTATTATTGTTGTTCAGAAGTTGCCTGTCATCCTAATTATTTCCTTCTCTTTCTTAACCTGCCCTCTCTCTCTGGCTGCTTTTTAGAGAGCCTTTGTCTTTGATGTTCTTCAACTTCAAAGCAATTGATGTAGGTGAGGATTGCTTTGATCTCGCTTGGAATGTTTTGCTTTTTAAATCTGGGTCCTGAGGTCTTTCATCGATTTGGGAAAATCATCAGCTTCTTTGAATAGAGTTCTCTTCCCTTCTTGGCTCTGGGGAAACGTGACCAGATGCTACGCTTCTGTGTCTCACATACCTCTTATGCTCGCTCGCATTTCCCTTTGTTCCTCTATGCTGCATTGCAGATTTACTCATCCTGCCATCTAGTTTGTTTATTTTCTGTGGGGCTGTGACTGTGCCCCAAGTTTGGGATTTCAGTCTCTTCTACCTAGTCATTATTTGGCTCTCTTTCAAATGTCTGTCCTTATTTTTGACACCTTGTTTTTGACTCTACCTTTCCTATGACTGCAGTGTGTGAACAGCCATCTCAAGTTCTTTAGCAAGGATCCTGTTTGTTTCTGCTGCCCCTCACTCGGAGTGGCTCATTTCATGTGTGTCACAAATGCCAGATTGGGTTGGGATTGACTTTGTATAAACCAAGGTTAAGGGAGGGTCATTCCAGAAAAAATTTGCATTTGCTTCTGCCAGGCATCCCCACGGCTCGGATAACTTATGTGGCTTGTGGTTTTCTGGGCCACAGAGGTAGTTTGCCTCTGAGGAAAGACCTGTGAGGCGTCCCGTGCTCAGGGCTGGGCTGAGGCTGGCCAGGCTGGGGTCGCCGTCTGCTGGTGGGCTGGGTTTTGTTCTCTCCTAGTCTGTGCTTCCACTGCAGGGAGCTCTGGCAGCTTACAGATGTTCAAACCCCTTCAGCCATTAGGCCTGAGAAATGTTCCAAGGGCAGTGGAAACTCCACTTGGAATTAGAGGACTGTGCCCGCCTGGAAGGTTCAAGGCAACTGTAGGCGGGAAGCAGAGCCCTGGCTGGCGGGGAGGAAGGTCGCTAACTGTTGCTGCAGGAATGTTGGCCTCTGAGACAGGCGGAGGGTCCTACTCCAAACAGCCGGAAATCGCTTGATGCGGAGATTGGTCTTCAGCGTCCCATAGGGCTGGGGATGAGCAGATTAAGGAAAGTGTAAAAGGTATAATAGTTGCCAAGGGTGATTTAGGATGCATTTAAAGTGCCAGACTGGCATATGTCATCTACTAATATGTTGCTTCAAATTCCGTTTTGAAGGAAGCTTAGAAAATGCAATGTAGTTAGCCTATTGCCGATGGAAGATCACCTGTTAAAGTAATATTGAAGACGTGTCCTTCCTCGTGTCGCTGATCTCTCCGCAGAGCCCATAGGCAGCATGTCGTCCATGGAAGTGAACGTGGACATGCTGGAGCAGATGGACCTGATGGACATATCTGACCAGGAGGCCCTGGACGTCTTCCTGAACTCGGGAGAAGAGAACACTGTGCTGTCCCCCACCTTAGGTAGGGATGACAAACTTGCATCAGCTGAACCGGGGCTATACCGATGCCACTCCCCTCCAAAGGGAGAAGTGAGAAACCTGCCAGTCACTTACACACAAACCCCCAAGCGCACAGCCAGCTCCTGGCTCCCTACCCCACGGTTCCACACGGCTGCGTGGCAGCTGCAACAGTGGTGTGGTTCCGTCATGAATTCTTCTCAAAGATTTGACATGCTCCACTCCGGTAACTTTGGTGAGCTGAGAGCTTTCTTGTTTTCCCTCCTTTACCACCCAGAAATCCATTTGAGTCTGCTCCTTGTGATTAAAGACCGGCGTTTGCAGGGAGGTGCAGACTTTCCTGCGTGGCTCCCACGGAACTCTTCCCTCTTGATGCGGCAGGCGTTTAGGGGCATGCCTGCTATGGGGCAAAGCCATGGTGTATGTTCAGCTCTTGGCCTGTGTTGTAAAACTTAGTTGGACTTCAGTTCCTTTCATCCCTTCCCAAAATTTTGTTTCACATTCATGCAGCAAATATTGACCGAGGTGCCAGACCTGTACCTGGGCTCGCTGCATTTCAAATTTCAGACCAGTTCTTCTGGCTGGGTCAAGGCAAAGCTCAGTCCTCCTGGCAGCACCTCAGCCATCTCTAGAAGGTTCTACCATTACCACGGTTTCTGCTTCTCACTCACTTCTCCCCCACTTCTCCTGGCAATCTGTCAGAACGGTGTCATCCCAGGGAAGAGAAGGGGCTTGGGTGCATTTGCTGCCATCCTGAGAAGGCCGGAATACTAGAAACCAGAATGAACCCTCACCCAGAGTCAAGGAAAGATTTAGAAACAGTGACACCTGAATATAGAATTTTGATTCCTTGAAGAGCCTATTTAGTTCCATAAAATTGGAGACCTGCTGAAAGGTCAATAATTCCGACAGTCTCAGCAGTGGTGTCTCTGAATTACTGAAAAGGGTAAAAAGAAAGACATCTAGATTATCAAGGTTACAGGGACTGCTCCTCCAAGACACGCAGCACTTGCCCTCGGGCCTCTATTACACACTATTACATAGTCCTAGGAGCTCTTGATCTTTGTCACCGGTGGCTGACTCCTTAGGGGACGGAAGGGTCACTGCAGGGCCTGAGGCTGCCTCTGGCATCACTCAGCTCAGTGTCTTCCAGGGCAGGCCCCAGGTCCCTGGAACAAAAAGCACACACCCCTTTCATGATGGGCACATTCCACAGCTGTTGGCAGCAATTCTAATCCGCAATCTTTTTATGACAGGACTTTTTCTTCCCTACGTTATTTTGCAGGGCCTGAATCCAGTACCTGTCAGAATGAGATTACCCTCCAGGTTCCAAATCCCTCAGAATTACGAGCCAAGCCACCTTCCTCTTCCTCCACCTGCACCGACACGGCCACCCAGGACATCAGTGAGGGTGGGGAGTCCCCCGTGGTTCAGTCTGATGAGGAGGAAGTTCAGGTGGACACTGCCCTGGCCACATCACACACTGACAGAGAGGCCACTCCGGATGGTAGTGACGACAGCGACTCTTAAGTTGGGACGGGACGTGGGCGTTGTCTGGCCACACTGGAATCCGGTTTTGGCTGTATGCGGAATTCCACCTGGAAACCCAGGTTGTTTTATAGAGGGTCTTGGTTTTTACATAATTGCCAATAATGTGTGAGAAACTGAAAGAACAGCTAACAATAAAGCGTGAGGATGGTAAACTGAGAGTGCACGGAGCTAGTTTATACAAAAGGCTTCTAAATACACACGTCCTTGAGGTCGCTATAACTCAGGGTTCCTTAGAGTGAAGGGACGCGCAGGTCACTGGGGGCTGCCCCAGGAGGTTGCATGTGGGCAGGTCTGGGCCAGGCAGGGGAGGCTCCACAGGGCTCGGTTCTGCATGAGGCAGGGAATGACCTGCCATTTCACAGGTGGAAAAGGCCACTCCCTGGAGAAGAGCTGACTGTAGCCAAACCACTCTGGCAAAGCTTGGGGTTTTCCTTTGATCATTACAGAATTACCAGTCCAATGGCCAACCGGTCCAACCCCTACTTTCATACGCCTGGGCCCAAAAGAACAGAAACAAGCCCAAAGCAATCCTCTCTTCTTTATGAAAAGAAACTGGTCCCCTGGAGATATGTTCCTGCCATCACTCCTCCAGCCCAACGAGCGGGCGAGCGAGCTCCCCGCTGAGATGAGGGGGGCTGTCTGCAGCCATACCACCCGGAATGCACCCAGTGTCCGCTCATCCTGAAAGCTCAGGGGGCACGGCTCGATGGGAAATGAGGGGGACAGCCGCAGCCCACGAGCAGCTCTGGCCCAGCCTGCCGGGCCACGTGGAAACCATTAGGTTATGCTGAAGGGGACCCAGCGGCAGGTGGGAGCTGTGGGAGCAGGACTGCCGCGTGGGGGTGGCTCTGCTCCCTGGCTACGGGCGATTCTCTACCCCCTGCCCGTGGATGAGAAAAGAAAGAGCTCATTCCATTCAGTCATCTTCCACAAGACAGACAAATGTCCAAAAAACTTTGTTTTTATTATTAAACCTTGTAGTACAAACCTGAAAAGTAAACAAAAAACTCGCAATAAACCACATGAAGTCTCCCTCCCAAGGGAGGGGTGCAGAGCAGCGCTAATAAATTAAATGTCAAACTGTAAGCCATAGGCAGAAGTTTACTGTCAAAAAGAGGGAAAGTACACAGCAAGGCCATAGAAACCGGACAACCACATTGGAAAACACTTGACTCTGTTTCTGTAATTGTTAAATATTCCAAAACAGTTCAGTCTTCTGCAACAACAACCAACAAAGTGGATCATAGGACGTTCCTGGCAGTCACCACTGGCAAGCTCAGTGCAATATGGGTAGCTACGGGATTGATGAATCCAATTATGAAACAAAGAACAGCTTGTGAAAACAGTTTCCCTTTTTTATTCCACACATACTGTACACACAACCGGAGAAGGGCAACAGCTACTCCATTATTATTTTTTTGTTGTTGTTCAGTGATGTAAGCAGCACTTATAAATGTTACAAGAAAAACCCTGTAAGCATCCAATCCAACCGATGAAGAAACTGAAATGTAAGGCTTTTCTTCATCTTGTCTTCTCACCCCCCTCCCCACCCCCCACCGAGAAAAAGGCTCAAGTATTTAAAACAATTTACAGGCATATGTACAAAAGGGATGGGATTTTTTTTTTCTTTTTTCCTTTTTGTTACAACATGAAGAGAAAAAATAGAGAAGATGAACGCAAATGCATTTTCACATTCAAAAATAACTGCAGGCCTCCTAGTGGCTCTCTATGTGATCATAAACGAAACAAATTTTAAAAGAAAGATTAATGCTGACTTGTGAAGGTGTCAAACAAGAAGCGGTGAGATGGAGATGGAATGTTAGAAAGATTGCACGTCGATGACAAAGAAGCACTTACGGCTTCCATCACTTTTTTCCGGTTTTTTTTTTTTCTTTTTTTTTTAAATCTTAAGGATGCTATTGAAGGGTTTTTTGATAAAGTAGCCAACAGCACCAAAAAATAACAGAATGGATTTCCTAATGAAATCAGGCACAGGTCTCCCTCATGTGACCCCTCCGAGGCAGGCAGTCTTTTCCGTCTTCCTCGCTCGCTTTTCTTCTTTCCTTGAACAGATGCATAGTGATGTGCTGGTGGAGAGCCCACTCGCTCCCGTCTCCTCGTTCCGCCTATGGTTAGGAAACAACGTCCGCCTTCAGCTGCCACAACCGCCCAGAGAAACAAAACGGGGGTGCCCCGGCTTCCCAGATCACAAGCTCATCTGGCACACGGCAGAAGACGACAGCCAAAGCAAAGCCATTTCAAGTTTTGTGTGTGTGTGTGTGTGTGCGCGCGTCTCCTATCCCTTCTAAAAAATCTGCTCACGTGACTGATGGTTTTTAAATTTGTTCTCCAAACTTCACCCTCTTCAAAAATGGGTTAAAAAGCCTTTTTTTCCCCAACAGTTACAAAAAAAAAAAAAAAAAATCAAAACAACAACAAAAAAAGGCTTTTGTCAGCCATGGGGCAATACAAATTAATACAGCCCCTGCAGGGTTTTTAAAACAGTGACTATACGGCAGTTTCCAAAATCTGACTGCAGTATCTAGGTTTTCTAAGTACAAAAAAAAGTTCAACAGTTTAATGCTAAAACAAAATTAGTTCTCTAAAACCAGAAGAAAATCTTCTTTAGAGCTAGTGCAAAGACAGCTTCAATCCTACAGCAAGTACTCCAAACTAGAATATAATAATTACAAAAAAATATATATAAATCGACCACGGGCGTTGGCATCTTCATGATGAGCTCGAAGCACTTTTGGATGAACCGGAGGCTGACAGCCGGGAGGGGGGCACGTCCACTGTCGCTCTCTTGCGGGGACCTCTTTTTGGTGTGGGTTTACTGAGACAGTTCTCAATGCTGCCGTTTTTACCAGACACTTTGCCGCAGATCTGATTGACCAGACTGATAATCTGTTCCTGTTTGGGGGTGAAAGGAAGGCACAATTAGCATACCATATTAACAATTAACATACCATATTAACAATTAGCATACCGTATTAACAATTAGCATACCGTATTAACAATTAGCATACCGTATTAACAAGAGCTCTGACCCTGACAGCCACGCAGGGGCAGGTTTAGGGCAGAGGGCAGCGGCGTAGCCGTCCCCTTCACACCAACCAACAGTGTTTACAATGTCCCCAAGAGGCTCAGACGCAGTGAGTCTCCCTTTCCCAGCTCCTCCTGACGCCACAGAGCAGGCACGGCCCTTTCATCCTCATCAATACCCTGGTCCACCATGGTTTGCCTGCTCATAAGGGCAGGGCTGGCAGGGGGAGCCCAGAGCACTGCCTCCACCACGGAGCACGCAGCAGAGAGACCTGGGGGCTTTGTTACGTCCTGGATGGTGACACAAATACCCAAGCTACTTGACTCACTTTAGCTACCAGCCACTGAACCTGGTCATGCAAATAAATGCAAACACTTGTCACCTATAGATATCCTTGTAATTCACCCAAGAGAATCATTTATCTGTCGGCACCAAAACTGCGTGTGTTAACTTTCACACAGTACATCCTATAATCATCTCATTTTTAAAAAGAACATGGGGAGGAGTAGCAAACGTGCATCTCACAAGCATCTCTCTGGGCCAGGGGTGGCTGGGAACCACGCTGAGTCCGGCAGGCGAGGAAGCCAGCCATGGAATGAAACATCTGAGGGCCTGATCTCTAGCCCTCTGGAAAGACCCCAAGATAAGGGTAAGGAGTGACAGCTGGCTCCCATCACAAGTTAAAGGCGCCCTTGGAAGGGGGGTGTGCACGGATCTGTAATAACACCATAGTCATGGCGGCCTGAGGCACTGATGATGAACACTGATAAGGAGTAAGTGGCTGAGCTGCCATAACACCCATTTAGGGGACTACAGCTACCTTACCATAAGGACGAGTGAGGAGGAGCCGGCCGCGTGCGGTTACAGGAGGGCACTGTTCCCTCCCCGCATGCAGCTCAACAGGCGGACAGCACCTGCCCCAGACCAGTGCCCTCACGCCAGGCTTGGTAGCAGGCAGCCCAGCACCCTGCTCACTGGACCCTGCTCAGCCAGCTTGCAAGGGCCGGAGGCACACATAGCTCCAAACTCCCCAGAGAGCTTCACCATCCATGAGAACCCAAGCCATGAATTCAGGGATTTGCAATCTAGGTGTGTCCCCTACCCCCCAAAAGGTAGGTGTTTAAAGCAGACTGTCCCAGGTCAGCAGGCACAGCCATGGGTGATTTGTGTGCTGGGCACACCGGGAGGTTGAGAACAAGATTTTGCAATGGTCTCTGTTTACAAGCTAGAAATTTCCTATTTAAAAGAATGGGTCAGATGTGGTGGCTCACGCCTGTAATCCCAGCACTTTGGGAGGCCGAAGCGAGCAGATCACCTGAGGTCAGGAGTTTGAGACCAGCCTGACCAACATGGTAAAACCCTGTCTCTACTAAAAAGAAAAATTAGCCGGGTGCATGGTGGCACATGCCTGTAATCCTAGCTGAGGCAGGAGAATCGCTTGAACCCAGGAGGCAGAGGTTGCAGTGAGCCGAGATCATGCCACTGCACTCCAGTCTGGGCAACAGAGTGAGACTCCGTCTCTAAAACAAAACACAATGCACAGCTCAACAGGGGACAGAGGCACAGACTTGCTTACTGAACTACATCAGCCGCTGCAGAGTATGCAGTTTCTAAATACCTTTGCTCCTCCTAATTCATCAAAACCAACCATTAGGTCTTAGCCCCTGCATGCCATTCTTTTCCCAGGATCTGGTCACGTCAGACATGCAGCTGCAGAAACAGGCTGCTGGTGAGGGGCGCAACGCACGATCCACAGAGCACTTTCCAGGCAGCCAGAGGAAGCCTTCCTGTGCCAGCACCTGCACTGCACAAGGTGCCAGAGCCACACTCATCTCGGCCGCGAAGGCTTCGTTGTGACTGTGCCTGGACATTTGCTGTTGAGGTGGAGGAGGGACAGCAGGTGCTTACTGCCTTCACCCAGCATGCTCTTTGAAACAAAACAGATGCAAGGAGTTCTTCTTCCAGCTCTCCAATCGTTTAGCTCAAGGCTTATTGAGTGAGACCCACCACTTGGCCCCACCGCTTGGGCCCCCAGACGCACCAGGCCCCGCACAGTCAGACCCGCAGCACCCGCCCCACTCAGTGGCCTCAACTGTGCAATGACCACAGTGT